CTTCTCTGCAGGGGGGAGAGCACCAGGCATCAGTGGCATGAACAGAGACTTGCTTGGCGAGCGCAAACGAGCTGCAGCAAGCTGGACCCAATCTCTGTCCCAATTAACAGGCTGCCCCCAGTGTCTCAATTAACAGGCTGCCCCCAGTGCCCCCATTAACAGGCTGCCCCCAGTGCCCCCATTAACAGGCTGCCCGGGGCAGTGGTGGAGCCCCCAGCCTAGGAGGGACTGAAAAGCTGTCAAGATGGGGAGGGACTGAAAAGCTGTGGAGATGTGCTACTTGGTGACATCGTTTAGGGGTGGACCTGGAAGTGGAGGGTTAATTGTTGGACTCTGTGATCTTAAGGGTTGTTTCCAGCCTGAACGATTCTCTCTGCTCATGGCAGCAGGCAGTGGATGTGCCCAGAGTGGTAACCAGCACAGAACAGCCTCAACTCAGTCCTGCAGTCCTGGAGGACTGGCTTGAGCCACAGGCCAACAAGCAGCACAGAATTTCACCAATTAGGACGGGCACAATCTGGCATGAGGAGACTGCCCCATCTCTCCTGAAATCCTGCCTCCAGCCAGAGCAGAGTGAGAGGCTCTGCAGGGCTCTGTGGGAAGCCACATTGCCCAGAGGGACCTGACAAGGAGGCTCTCCTTGTCCTCTGCTGAGAGCAGGAGGTCCCACCCTCCAAGTTTGGCCTGATGGCAAACAGCCACAAAGAGCTGCCCACAGTGTATGGGACAGGCTACAGCACAGGCTGGAACAGCCTTCCAGGACTTCAGCAACCTGAAGGGAAGTGGGAAGAGGGGCCTGGAGTCCCTCTGGGTCTCTTACAGAGAAGTCCCCTTGCCAAAACCCCTGAAGCATCAGGCTCCTGACCCTCGGGCCCCTCCCCAGCCCCTCGAGCCCGGCGCTGCCCTGCTGCTCACCTACAAAGCCCTTCTGCTCCTCATCTGAGATGCGCAGCAGCAGCTCCCGGTGGGACCTGCTGATGTCAGGGGCCACCAGCTTCACGAGCTCCTTCCACCGGGCTTCTCTCACCACAAACCTTCCCCCTTCCTCTTCCTTCAGGAGGTTGAAGGCCTCGGTCATCTTGCGGCGCTTCATGTGCGCGAGCTGGCGGATCTCGTTCTGGAGAGAGCACAGGGGGGGTTCAGGCAGCTGCCCTCCCACTTCCTCCCCCTGGCCTTTGGGGTTTTTTTAAACAAAACCTTATTTTCAGGGTACAGAGAGGCAAGGAGAGACTCAAAGGAACACACAGAGTGACATTAGACACCGAGCACCGTCAGCGAGGGAGAGGAGCGATGCTGCTTGACAGGCAGCCACTCTGCACACCCCCCTGGGAGGATCCACAGATCACCTCCTGCTGGGACAGGCACTGGGAAACAGGAAGACAAGACAAAGGACAGTGTCTAACAGGAAGGAGATGACAAAGATGACACGATCTGCATTGCCCACAGGTCACAAAAGCAAAGAGGATGTGTCCACACGGGCTTCCCATCCGTAAGAGACTCCTGCTAAGTAAGGTGGGGATCCTCTTTGCTCGGGATTATGAGCAGGCTAAAGAACCTCACACCCCTTGGGAGCCTTTTAGGAAGACCTAGAAGTCTGCTTGCTGAAAAAGAGCCAGTCCCCTCATGGGAGCACCCAGGAATTTCCAGTTCTCACTTCCACCACGAGTACCAAACTGCACCTCCTCAGTTTGGGTAGAAACAGCAAGAGTTCCAAATTACTTGGACCCCCCCCCATTACATTTCCTGCACTTTAAGGGCACACAGAGTGCACAGAGGGTTTCCAGGGGAGAGCTGGATATTCCCTCCCTGGGCTACACACAACAGCAGCAGTCACTGATCACAACTCATCCCCCCAGGTGTTACCTTCAGGTGTTTCTTGTAGTTGTTGTAGACAACAGCCAGGAAGAGGGACATGAAGATGTAGGTGTTGATGATGACGAAGGCGATGAAGAAGAGCGCGTACCACGAGCTGAAGTCAAACGCTGGCATCCTGGAGAGGGGAGGGAGAGAGATTGCTCCTTGCTAGGCAGGCAGGGACAGAAAAGAACCCACGAGAAAACTGTCTTCCAGAGAGATTCCTACAGCCTGGTTTGGTAGCCAAATACCCGAGCTAAAAACTGCAATAATTCAGTTAGAGAACAGTTTTCCCCCAGCAGGTTTCCATGCTGGTTTATCAGGCCCTGATGGAGAGGAAGAAGAGAAAGCACAGATGGACTTGGCCACACTGACAGAAGCTTCAAGTGTCCAGTCTGGAGGGGATGTCTCAGTCATGAGCTGGCTAGGGGCTTCACAGACCCCCACTGCACTCAGACCTCCCCCCTCCACTCACTGCAGGAGGGCCAGCAGCCTGAATGCCCCATCATCAAGCTGCCCTGTCCAGCACACCCCCGTGTGCCATTCCTCCAGACCCCCTCCTTGATGGCACCTTCACAGCACAAACCACAATGGGCACCTGGTTGGAACAAATTCAGGTGGGAATCCCAACCTTCACCCACGTTTAAGAGTTTGTGCAAGCTCAAAAAAGGCTGCATAAAACCCCCAGAAATATCACAAGAGAGAGAGACACCTGGTTACCAGAGCACACCCTTCCTCTGCACCAGGGGGTTCAGTCCAAGCCTGTGTCTGGCTGTCCCTCCAGTTCAAACCTTCACCAGCTACTGGGTCTTTTAGAAAGCAGGAGTTATAAAGCTTCTCTTCTAGAAGTCTTCCTCACCTCAGATTCCCCTCAGAGCTGCTGCTGCCCTGCAGCACCTCATGCCAAACACCACATGGGCCCAGGCAGAGGTGCCACCCCTGGGAGGAGGAGAGCAGCACCCAGGACAGCCAGCCTGCCAGCTCAGCACACCTACATGACATCCGGGCTGTTGGCGGTCGTCACCAGCACGTAGAGGTCAAACACAATGTCCAGGTAGTTTCTGAAATAGGGCAAGCCCTCTGCTGTCCGGAGGTTCCTAGGAGGAAGAGGACAGTCTGGAGTGGAGCACAGGTCACGTGGGCCACCACAGGAACTGCACGTGTCAGCAGCTGGCATTCAGAGACTCATTTGGGCTGGAAAAGACCTTTAAGATCATCAAGCTCAACCATTCCCCCAGCCCTGCCAGGTCCCCACTGCCCCGTGTCCCTCACCCCACATCTCCACGGCTTGGGAACCCCTCCAGGGGTGGGGACTCCACCACTGCCCTGGGCAGCCCAGGCCAGGCCTAACAACCTGTACAGGGAAGAAAATTGTTCCTTGCATTCAACCTAAACCTCCCCTGGGTCAAATTGAGGCTGTGTCCTGTCCCTTGTTCCTTGGGAGCAGAGCCCGACCCCCCCCGGCTCCAGGCTCCTGTCAGGAGCTGTGCAGAGCCAGAAGGTCTCCCCTGAGCCTCCTTTGCTCCAGGCTCAGCACCCCCAGCTCCCTCAGCTGCTCCTCCCCCCACTTGGGCTCTAGACCCTTCCCCAGCAGCTCCGTTGCCCTTCTCTGGCCACGCTCCAGCCCCTCAAGGGCCTTCTGGGAGTGAGGGGCCCAAAACTGACCCCAGGAATTGGACTGACCCAGGTCCTGCTGGCCACTCGAGTGCTGATAGAAGCCAGGGATTTCTAACACAAGCCATTCAGCAGTGATGGGTCACAGCTGCCAGGCTCCCTCCTGCCCCACAGCATCACCCCCCTTCTTCCTGAACTAGGAAGACTCGTACCTCTCACCAAACAGCTTCAGGGCCATGAGGGAGAACATGAGCAGGCTGAACATGAAGAGCAGGAACACGTAGGTGATCTCTGGCAGGGTGTTGCGGATGCTGCGGAAGGCTCTGCGGATCTGCCAGGAGAAGAGGGGTGTCTAGAGGCAAGCTGGGGCCCATTTTTTCTCCTCCCCATCCCACCTGGCTCAAACACCTACCCAGGGACAAGCAAAGGGTGACACAGATACCCTCCTGTCATCTGCCAGGAGGGATTCTGACCCAATTTGCCACCTGTTGTCCTAAAACCTGCATGAAAGCACCAGACCTTTGCTCCCCGTTCTCCAGAGGGGACACCAGGGGAGAGCATCTATAGATCATCATGAAGTCAGCTAGCCAAAGGACAGAGGGCCCTGGAGCTGCTGAGAAGCTCTTGCTAGAGGAGCCTGGTCAGGGATAGAAGCCCATGACACAAAACACATGCTCTGAGATGGAGCTCAGCTGCTCCCTCCCCCAGACCTCTGCACCACAGTAGCTTCTCCATTCATAAGTCAAGGACCAGAAGAGTCTTGGGCAAAGATCCCCCGTGACAAGAGGAACCAGAGTCCAAACCAGCCCCCTGGACTATGAGTTCAGGTTCTGAGAGCAGCGTCACACTCCTGCCTGTTTGCCTCAGGCTTCCAGGAATAAGTAACCTGGCCCCTGGCCCAGGGAGAGGTCATTTTGTCTGTGGTGCTGCTCATGTTCACGTCTCCCAAGGACAGCACCCAGCTCTGCTTGCAAACAGAGGCTGCACCAAGCACAGACCTCACAAGAAACCCTATTCCCTCCCTGGACAGCCTCATGCTTTGTGAAGCACGCTCCTCCCCACACCATCCCAGCACCACGTCTGGTGAGCAGCTCTTGTTCCAGCCCCAAACACACTCAGGGCTCTGGACAACCCATAAGGACAAGGAGAAGCTTTTTGGTAACTGATGCAAAG